TGTGTGGAGACCTCAGAGCAACCTGCCAGGAGCTGAAGGGGCTCAGGGAAGCTGCAGAGGGACTCTATGTTAGGAACTGCAGTGACAGGACAAGGAGCAATGGGGTTAAATTGCAAGAGGGAAATTTAGATGAGATATTAGGCAGAAGTTTTTTTCCTGTGAGGGTGGTGAGACACTGGCACAGGTTGCCCAGGGAGGCTGTGGCTGCCCCAACCCTGGCAGTGTTCACAGCCAGGTTGGATCAAGCCTTGAGCAACCTGTTCTGGTGGGAGGTGTCCCTGCCCAGGGCAGGGGGTTGGGGCTGGATGATCTCTAAGCTCCATTCCAACCCCTTTACATTTTATGATGCTTTGATCTAAGTGGGCTTTCCTGTTGGGATGGGCTATGTGGTCCACCCAAGCATGGGAATGCTTAGGAGATGATGGGTGTCATGACTGTGGCGGTGGGGCTGGTGGAACAACTCTCTTTCCTGTGCCTTGGCATGCCCAGCAGCTTCATCCTTTCTTGTTGCCCTCCTTTGCAGGCCCAGAAGAATGAGCGGGAGTCCATCAGGCAGAAGTTGGCTCTGGGCAGTTTCTTCGACGATGGCCCAGGACTGTACACCAGCTGCAGCAAGAGCGGCAAGCCCAGCCTCTCCTCAAGGTAAGCCAACAGCCTCCCAGCCCAAAACCTCCTTGGAGAGGCTGAAAAGAGGGAGATGCCTCCAGTGGGACACCCCAAGACCTATGTTTTCAACCATATTCCTGAATTTTCCATGTTTTAGAACAACATCTCATGCTCCAAATGCAGGAGTTGTGTGTTCCGTAGATACTTGGAAATAATAAGCTAAAATGCTCATTTAAAACTGGCTAGAAAATATATTTGGATGTTCAGGGGATAAAGCAAATGAGATGAAGTTTTCTGAATTAGGTTTCCTTCAGGTTTTCATTTAGGATTTGACACAGATTGCCCAGAGAATGTGTGGCTGCCCCATGCCTGGAGGTGTTCCGGGCTAGGTTGAGTGGGGCTTGGAGCAACCTGGGCTAGTGTCCTAGCCCATGGCAGGGGGTGGGATGAGATGAACTTTCAGGAAATTCTTCCCTGTGAGGATGATCTTTAAGGTGTCACCATCCTTGGAGATGTTCAGGAAACGACCGGACATGGCACTTGGGTCTAGTTGACAAGGTAGTGATAGATCAAAGGTTGGACTCAGTGATCTTGGAGATCACTTCCAACCTAAACTGTTCTGTGATTCAGGCACAGAAAGCACCAGAGAATGGAAGAAATGAGCTTTAGTATGACTCCATGCCTCCCTGCCTTGTCCACAAGCTCTCCACACGAGCTCTTCTTCAAGATATGGCTCCATCCCTGGAGCTGCCACACTGCACATGGATACCTCACTTGGATTTTTAAGCTTTCTGCATCTAATACACTCCAGAAAGGCTTGTTTATACCCAGCTGCCAGAGTGTAACCCATGGCACTTGAAAGCATCAAACACCTCCCATGTTGGGAGTGAATCTCTACCTGTTGCCATGGTGTGGGAGAAGAAAGAAGCCATAGGGAGGCACAAAGCCAGGAGGAATTCTGCTATTCCACCAGAGGTGCAGTTGTGAAATCAAACTGAACTGCAAGTCATTAGAAAGGGAAAACAGTTTTGCTGTGTGTAGTTACAGCTGAAGCAAGAGCTGCTGCCTTGTAATTAGTGTGTGGGTTAATTAACACAGCATGGCAGGGTTTGGCAGCTGTGCCACCAGAAATTGCCAGCTGTACCTGAAGGCTTTTGTGCTTCATTAGTATTGATAGTCCAGGCAAAGCATTAGTATTGTCTCTTCCAGGACCTCCAGGAGCCTTTGCAGGACCATTGCTCCCATGCTTGTATACAGATTTATGGAGTAGAGTCAGGATGGTTTGGGACCTTAAAGCTCATCCAGTCCCACCCCTGCCATGGACAGGGACACCTTCCACTAGCCCAGGTTGCTCCAACCTCGCCTGGAACGCTGCCAGGGATGGGGCAGCCACAGCTGCTCTGCCAGTGCCTCACCACCCTCACCATAAACAGCTTCAATTATCAATCCTGTCTATCTTATGGTAATAATAACCAATAAATTCCACTGAAATAAGTAGAAAATAGTTAGCTGTCCCTGAGTACCAATATGAGCTCCTTCCCATTGGGAATGAGGAATAACAGGCAGCAGAACGTGGCCAGGAGGTTGCCCCATCTTCAGCAGGTAGAGATGGGCTACAATCTATCAGCTGTAAAAGTGCTTTTCCCTTCTCACATCCCATGCTGGGATATCCCTGCCCTTATCCACTGTATCCACAGAAAATCATTCCAGGGGAGGTGAATTTGATTGGGCTTAATCAATCCAAATGAAGTGATGGAGCAGATGGTCCAGAAAACACCATAGCAAACTCTTGCCTTACAGTAGTGTGTCTTGGCCACAAAGAGGCTTATTACCCTTCTGAATTAATCATTTCTATCCAATTCCAAATATTCTCTATAGTATCATTATTTTAATATATTCTTTACATATATGTGTGATTTTTGTTTTATTTAGATTTTATCTAGATTTTGTTCAGATAAAATAAACATCAGATAAAATGTTATATATTTTATCTGATGTTTAATATATATTAAGAAGTGTTTTATTAGATCTTAATCTCTTTATACATAATATTTCCTTTAATGTAATCATACAGTCACTTGTGATGCCAAGAGCTCTGCAGTGAATGGGTAATTCACAGCTTCATCAGTAGATGGTGATAGAAGCTTTGTCATTACATGACACTGAGTTTCCAGTCCCACGTTGAACTGCTCAGAACTGGCAACACTGGGAGGTTGCCCATGCCCCTATGACAGGAGCTGGTGGTCCTGGCTCGGCTTTTGGATGGGAGATGACCATCTTCTTGCAAAAATAAGTGAAAATGGTTATGTTTTCCTGAGGTCACTCCAAATCCACTGCCAAGTCCCTTTGTGACCAACATGTCTCTCCCCACTCCTCCCCCAGCCTGGAGCTGCATGGGGTTGTTGTGTCCCAAGAGCAGGACCAGCACTGAGCCTTAGTGACCCTCATGCAGTTGTCCTCAGTCCAGGTCTCTCTGTAGAGCTTCCCTACCCTCAGGCAGATCCACACTCCCACTCAGGTGAGTGTCACCTGCAAGTGTGCTGAGGGTGCACTCAGTCCCTACATCCAGATCATGTGGGGAGAGCCTTGGGCTGCCAGTGGCAGTGCCAGCTCAAGGGGACTGAGGTGTGACCTCTCCTTTCCTCTCCACAGATTACAAAGTGGGATGAACCTGCAGATTTGCTTTGTGAATGACAGTGGCAGCGACAAGGACAGTGACGCTGATGACAGCAAGACAGAAACCAGCCTGGACACACCGTTGTCACCTATGGTAGGTCTGGGAGCCCATCCTGGAGAGTGGAAACCATGGGGAATCCATAACGGGAGCTGATAAAGGGCTGATCCTATTTAAAGAGCAACACTAAACCCCAGAGCAGCATTTTCAGCCATCGATAAAATGTGGTATGCTGAGGGACAGATAGCAAATCTCCCCTGGCTAGCTCAGGGCTGCTGTGGAGCTAATACCATGTGAAGGTTCCTTCTTCCTTCCTTCCTCCCTTTCTTTTTGGCTCTGATATTTATGAGGACAGTAGTGGATTTGAAGTGGTATCAGCTCACATCAGCTTTCCTTTCCTCTCTTTTCCTTTGTGAATATGACATTCCTTTGTCAGTATAACATCACAGCCCCAAATGGTTTCCTCCAGTTTAACCCATGTGTCCCTTCAACACCTATTGATCTGCTTGGCTTCTCTTTCCTTTTCAAGCTGCTATTTATAGCCAAGGGAATTTGTCTAGGAATCACTCTGATTTTGAATGATAATCTTGTGGATTAAGATAAGAGAAAATCAGTGCTCTTTACAGTTTCTGTAGCAATGATACCACTTGTAAGCACCCAAAAATAGGTTAAGCCAAGAGCAAATGTCTTTGATGGGGCACAGTTGGGGTGACAAGACTGTCACAGCTGTGTCTCTACTCCCCTAGAGCAAGCAGAGCTCGTCCTACTCCGACAGAGACACGACAGAGGAAGAGTCAGAGTCCCTTGACGACATGGATTTCCTCACCAGGCAAAAGAAACTCCAAGCAGAAGCCAAGATGGCCTTGGCTATGGCAAAGCCTATGGCCAAAATGCAGGTGGAGGTGGAAAAGCAGAACAGGAAGAAATCGCCAGTAGCAGATCTTGTAAGTGAAGGTGGTGGGACAGCACTGGGAGGTGACACCAACCCTTCTGACATCCACTCCACTGGTAGTGGGGCTCATGGGGCTTCTAGACATTGGAGAGGAGTGGTGAGGATAGGGACTGGATGGCAGGAGTAGAAGGGTGAACATTGGACATCTTCTTGTGGCGTTACAGAAGTGGGATGGATGAAGGGAATGAGATGGTGAAGCATTGAAGGTTGGTGTTGCTCATCCTCATAAGTCATAGTCTGTTCATCCCATCCCATCTCACAGCACTCCTGCTTTGGTACAACACTGTCACCATCACCTTTACCTCAAAATACCTCAAATATTGGTGCTGCTAGTAGATTTAAGGCCTTGGGTCAAGCCATGTAGATGTTTTAACTCAGCTGGGTAGGTGCAGTGGAGTTATTGATTCCTCTTCATGAGAGCAACATAAACTGTTCAGAAATACAAATAGTTGGAAGAAAATTGACAATACTTTCTTTTCAGCTGCCACATATGCCTCATATAAGTGAATGCCTGATGAAAAGAAGTTTAAAACCCACTGATCTAAGAGACATGACTATTGGGCAGCTACAAGTGATAGTCAATGATCTTCACTCACAGATAGAAAGTAAGTGATAACTGTTGAATTATTCTTTGCTATGTCCTGTTTAATATAGAACAATTCTCTGGGATATACATAATATACTATCTGTATCTATCTATATATAATATATAGATGTATATATTCTTCAGCATATGTTTATATTCATCATTGAAAGGGTATTTCAGGCTTGGCACAGTCTGCCCAGGGCAGTGGTTGAGTCACCATCCCTGGAGGGGTTTAAAAGCTATGTAGATGTGGCACATGGTGGGGAAGGTCTCGAACTGGGATTCCCCAGGACATCACAAACTTTCTCTCCCTGGCACCAGGCTTGAACGAGGAGCTGGTGCAGCTGCTGCTGATCCGGGACGAGCTGCACACGGAGCAGGATGCCATGCTGGTGGACATCGAGGATCTCACCAGGTGAAGGAATGATCCTTGGGGTGTTTCTGTTCCCTCACAGGGCCCAGTTGGATATGAGGCAACAGTGTGCCCTGGCACCAGGAAGGACATCATGTCCTGGGGGGCATCAGGCAAGGCATAGGGAGAGGGAGGGGATTGTCCTGCTCTGCTTTGTGCTGGGGCAGCCTCACCTGAAATATTGTGCACAGTTTGGACACCACAAAGTAAGGAAGGTATTCAGTTATTGGAGAGTGTCCAAAAGAGGCAACGAATGTGGTAAAGGGCATAGAGGGGAAGCCATGTGAGGAGTAGCTGAGGCACTTGGGTTGTTCAGGCTGGAGAAGAGGAGACTGAGGAGGGACCGCATCACTGTGTACAGCTTCCTCATGAAGGAAAATGAAGGGGCAGCACTGACCTCTTCTCTCTGAGACCAGTGACAGGACCAGAGGGAATGATCTGAAGATATGTCAGGGGAGGGTTAGGCTGGGTATTAGGCAAAGGTTCTTCCCCCAGAGGGTGTTTGGGCACTGGAACAGCTCCCCAGGGCAGTGGTCACAGCCTCAAACCTGACACAGCTCGAGGAGTGTTTGGCCAGTGCTCTCAGGCACAGGGTGGGTTGTTGGGGTGTCCTGTGCAGGGGCAGGAGTTGGACTCGATGGTTCTTGTGGGTACAACTCTGAGTATTCTGTGTCTGTGATTCAGTGCAAAGCTGAGTTTCAGTTCTCTGCCAAGGTGGTGCAGCTGCCAGCTTGGAGCACAGCCCTTGCATGGGCTTTGGGTTTCCATCTCCCCTGGGTGCAGGGTATAACCCAACTCCTTTCCTGCCCCCAGACACGCTGAGAGCCAGCAGAAGCACATGGCAGAGAAGATGCCAGCAAAATGAACCTCGGGAGCAGAGCTGGAGCGAGACCTCATTCTGCTTCTGTCCGTGTCCACTCACTGACGTCCACGGCGGCCCCAGAACCCCAGTGTTAGTCATTGACCATGTCTGAAGCTTTTCTGTCCAGTGATTGGCCTCTGCTTCTTAATTTATTTTCATTTTTTTACCTGTGCCACTAAATATCAGGCATTTTAATAATAATATTCTTACTCCAACCAGAGACATGTACAGTACTTCTAACCTTATAAATCATGGGGGAGAAGAGAGGGTAGGTTAACTTTATTTTTTCTGTTTGCTTTAGAGACTTTTTTTTTTGGGTTGAATAAGATTTGCCCATTGACTACTTTTTTATTCTTCACTGTAGTTTGAAGATGAAGAAACTGTACTTGACGGTGCTATACAAGTCCAAACAAAATCCATGCCTGCCTCGTAGTGACCTTGTAGCTTTCAGTCATCTGTACTTTTGAATCAGTTGTCAACATTTTGTGAATGTTGACTACCTGACAGTCATTTTTAGATGTGCTATTAACACTCAGTTGGATCCAGAGAGTTGAGAGTTTTCTGTATAAAGCTGTAAAATAAACTTGTTTCCTAGGCCACGTCTTTTTGTTGCCAAGTGGTTGACGTTGGTGATGCACCAGTAATGTATCCTCCCAACTAAATGTGCAATTCCTACTTTGTCATCACCACAAAGAGCCTTTTTTTTTCTTTGCTGATCACATGAAACTATGGAAAGAAGAGAGGATTTTTGTAGAGTTATTTATTTGTAAGTTCCTAATGATGTATGACATGGACTGAAGAGATTCTTCTATACCAACACTGAGCCCTGATGTTGTGATGGTGGCTGGAAGCAGCAGGAACACGCCCTAGATGGTTTTTATTGAGGTTTTATTGTCTGGGCTAAATATTTCAATGACCTGCCAATGTCAGAAATAAAAGAAATGATCTATGGTAAAAATCTAAGCAGCATATTAAGTGGATTATATGTATGGAACTCCTCCCCTCTGCCTTTGGGCTGTGCTCCTGCTTCAGAGCCAGGTGCTGGCTGTCCCCTCCTCTGCACACACAGCATGGGGGACACTGGGACACTCATAAATCTGTCAACATCCCTCATTGGTTTGATTTAGAGCTGGAACCATACCCTTCCTAAGGCACAGCAGACGTGTGTGTTGCTCCCACCTGCCTTTTCCCTTTTAATTCTCATTTCCTCGGGGGCAAATTCATCTCAGCACAGGATCTGACTGATTACTTATTCAGGGTGTTTTCACAAAAGCCTGAGCTGCATTAAAATTTCATCCCCTGCCAATAATGTATTTGATTAAATGACTTTTTTCCCCTCCTTTTTGTTTTTTTGCAGAAAGGGCAGGTTCTGGAAACACCAACCCTCAGTGGAGTTGGGTGGGGATGGAGGGTTGGGCTCATTTAGGATTGGTTTTCCTTTTCTAGGAGAGTTTCCAGTGCCAGTCCCTGTTCCACAGCCTCCATGGGGGCTGTATCCTGTGTTCCTGCTGGGCAGTGTCCCCTGAGCAGGCAGCAGGGAGCAGAGGAAGATACTGGGATGGGTTAGGCTGGTTGCCCTCACCTTCAGCCCATGATGATGCAAACTCTTTTCTTCCTTATTTTATATCTATGCAGAAAAATATTAGAGGGGGATTAGTTTCCCTGTTGGTTGGCTCAATGCTGCTGCCTGCACAGGGGGAACCCTGCTGGATTTCTATTTCTCCTCTGTAGTACACCTTATTTGTGGTGTCTGAGCCCAAAAACCATCCCCACAGGGCACAGAGCTGCTCATCAACAGCAGCTCTTTGGCTATCAGGGCAGGAGGTGCTGCTGGTTTTAAAGCATGAATTTAAAAAACCCCAAATACAAAAAGTTTGCTCTCAGCTTTAAAAAAATAAATAGAAAATAAGCAAGAAAGCCCCTGGGTGCTCCTGGGGAACCCCCACAGCCACCTCTGGCATCATCCCTGGCATCCTCCGGCTCGTGGGGCACAGCGTGAGGCAGCCCAGGCAGGCTGGAGTTTGTTCCCTTGCTAAGTGCCTTTAACTTGCTGAAGAGAACTAGTCATCTCCTGCTGGTTTTCCCCCTTCTGTCCTTTGGGGGTTTGGGTTTTGTTAAAAAAATAAGTGTGTTTCTGGGTAACTGCATCTCCTTGGTTCTGTGTCCCACGTCCCGAGGTGTCGTGCTGGTGTGTATGATGGCAATGCTGTGGAATTGATGGATTAAAGGCTGTTTTTAAAAGAGAAGGGTCTGGTGTGGTTTCTGAGGGGCATTGTGTGCTTGTTGCTACTGCCCTGGCATGGGCAAGATGTATTTTGTCACCTATTTCTGAATGATTTCTACTGATCCCCCTTTGAGTCTCCTCTGTTCTCCTTTTAGTTCCTTCTCTCCATGTCTCCACCAAACATGGACCATCTCCCACAGGATGCCAAACTGGGGAATGTTTGCCTTCTGCAGGCTGCTCACTGTGTGCAACAAGAAAAGTACCTCCAAGCCTAGAAGTCACCCAAAATACCTGATGCAGGCAGCAAAAAGACCTTCCAGCCTTCAATTTTCACAGGGCTGTGGGGGATGAAGGTCCTATAAGCTTCCCACATCTCCCACCCTGCTGCCCTTGAAGCACCAGCTAGAGCTAATTAGGTATATAGTAGAATAATTAGCTAATAATAGCCAATTATAGCTAATTCTCTATATCCATGAGGATATGCCAACATGGCTTTTTTTGGAGCCACATCCTTGGGGAAAATTTGGAGAGGGGTTGTTCTACTTGGTTGGTTTATTTCTCTTTTTCTTATTTTTTTTGAGTCTTTTCACCCATGAATGGCATTTACACAGTTCCACTCCTGACTCCCAGTATCAGTACTGGAACCCCAGAGCTGAATTCCCCGAGGGAGGCTCAGAGGGCTCTGAGGCAGAAGGTCTCTTGGGTTGAGCTCAGCAGGGACAGTAATAAGCAGCTTCTGTTATGACAGTGGTCACTGCTGCACCCTGAGGAATCAAGATTTGGCATCCAACTATGGGATGGATGAAGCAGTGCCCTGGGGGGAAAAATAGCTGTTCATTTGAGAAGAATACTCAAATGACTAAAAAGTCAAGGAAAGCACAAAGTTGAATGGGCTGGAGAAGGCAAATGTTCACGAGTGTTAGCTCCTGCCTGCAGGGATCATGGAATCATAGAACAGTTTGGGTTGGAAGGACCTTAAAGACCATCTCACCCCCCTGCCATGGGCAGGGACACCTTCCACTAGCCCAGGTTGCTCCAAGCCCCATCCAAGCTGGCCTGGAACACTCCCAGGGATGGAGCAGCCACAGCTGCTCTCAGCAATCTGTGGCAGTGCCTCATCACCCTCACAGGGTGGAATTCCTTTCCAATATCCATCTAACCCTGCCCTTTGTCAGTGTGAAGTCATTCCCCCTTGTCCCATCATTCCATGCCATGTCCTCTGCAGCTCTCTTGGAGTCCCTTTAGACACTGGAGGGATCTTTGAGGGCAAGGGAGAGGCACCGAGCTTTGTGTAGCTAGGAAACAGTTGTGGAGCTTGTTTTCTTTTTTTAGCTCTTACACCACTATTTTTTTATGTTGCCTGAATAGCTGAGCAGGAACTGCTCCTTGGTGTGCCACATCCTGTCCCCATCCTGCTCCTCTCCAACACCCCTTTCCTCCATCAATCCTGGCCATCCAGGGGAAATTCCTCTCACTTTTTCTTGCCTGCCTCCAGCTGCTCTCACACCATAACACTTCTTTATTCTTTTAAGCCTGTCTCTTAATTGGACTTGATGATCTTAAAGGTTTCTTCCAACCCTGATGATTCTATGATTTTTGGTCCTAAACTCACCTGTGCTTGTAAAGTCTGAAATGCTACATTCAAATAAATAATACCTAATAAATCCTTGTGGTGCTTGAGATAACACCCTGCTAATGGTAATTCAATCAGCCCATGGGAACAGGGATGATTTTATGAGGCAGCTACTTCCTCTCAGGGAGGCCTTGTGGTTTGGGTTCCCTTTTTAGTGTTTTGCTTCCTTTTTTTGTCACTCTCCTACCTCAGCAGTTTCTGACTGTGCACTGGCTGTGCTGGGCATCATCTCCCTGGGCACCACCACAGATCAGAAGCATATGAAAACAGAGAGGTTGTGGCTGCCCCATCCCTAGAAGTGATCAGCCTGAAGAAGCTTTGGGGTGACCTAATTGCAGCCTTCCTATGCCTGAAGGAGCCTGCAAGAAAGATGGAGAGAGACTATTCGTAAGGGCTTGGAGTGACAGGACAAGGGGGAATGGATTCACACTGATAGAGAGGAAGTTTAGGTGGATATTAGGAGGAAATTGTTCCCTGTGAGGTTGGTAAGGCCCTGGCACAGGTTGCCCAGAGAAGCTGTGGCTGCTCCATCCCTGGAAGTGTTCCAGGCCAGGTTGGATGAGGCTTGGAGCAACCTGGGCTAGTGGAAGGTATTCCTACACATGGCAGAGGGTGGGATTAGATTATCTGGTTGGATCTTTAAAGGTCCTTCTAACCCAAACCATTCCATGACTCCATGATTCTAAGAAAACCATACACACAGCCTTTTATTCTGCTTATTTCATCCTTCAAAGGAGAAACACTACAGAACTTCTGAGAATTAAGCCATGCAGACTCAGATGAGAAGGTTTAGATGGTGGGACACAACCCCCTGCATGTTCGTCCTGCTCCCAGCCCACTCAAGGACATTGCATCACTGCCAGGGAAGGTGATTAGCTCAAAGGGGCTTTTTTTTTCCCCTTCTCTAAAGCAAACCCATTGCTGCCAGCCCCGAGGGAGGCTCAGCCTTGCAGAGGGCATCCCCAAGGAAAAGCCTCACAGGGGGTTCCTGGCCCTGCTCCGCATTGGCTTCGCCGCACAGCCTACGCGTGTTCCCGCTGAGTTTCTCTTCCCTCTTATTGGAAAGCAAAGTGAAACCTATGTGTGCGGGACCTCTCCTCCTCCTGCTGCTCTAGGGGTGTCTTGGGACATCCTGTATGTCACAGA